AGTTTTATTGGCACCCCTATAAATTACATTAGCAAATGCCTAGCAGACGAGTGGGAATGGCCATGGCTCTTAGGAGAAAAGCCAACTAATTGATACTGAAAACAAATTGTAGTAGGTACAAACGTTTTGCAACGAAAATAGAAACTAGATAGGTAAACACCAAGAGAAAGACGTGAACTATCAAAAATGATATTTACCTCTGACATTCAAAATGCAAATTATCTTTGCAAGCTAGAGAAAACTTAATTACGTTTGGAGATGTCTTTCAGAAGATTCCTGAATAATATTTAAAAAAAATCTAGATGATGGTAGATAGGTACATATTATATAAAACTAATAAAAAAAACTCATAAAAAAATCTCATAAAACTCATTTATTTCTGTAAATAGAACTTTTACATAAGCTTTGGTGATAACATTTTCTTCAGTTGAACGTGAGAAAAGTAGACATTTTATAACGATAATTTGCTTAAATGTCATTTTAATAACAAGGAAAGTCTTCCAATAGATGGATTTGATGACCGTATATGAAAGCATACATTTTTGTAGCAATAAAGCACATAATATGACCACTACGAAATTTATGTTTCATAACTTAGCTTGATGTGCTATACAAAAAGTTATCTAGGTCAACTGGAAACGTAAACATTAACTGCTTGTTTCCCTTTAGCTGTGTAATAGGTCAGCGGTAGACGGGCGACCTTGATAACCTCACGACGATATATCTTGGGGTTTACGCTAGACAGTTGATTGGATTTGACAAAACGCGGACAGTAAAATCTAGTAGCTTTTTTTTCGATTTTGTAAAAATCAAAGGTTTTTATTATCTACTACGGAGAAGCTCTTGGCCTGGATCTTACCAGGCCGAAGATAGCCGAGCTTTAATCGGAATTCTCAACCACAGAGGAACTGGATAGCTTAACTCCAACTGCCGGAACCCAACAATGATGTTAACATTGTTGTTATGACGATATACTTATTTAAGCAGACTTAGGTAAAAAGTATGAGAACTTCAATAATCGTACGCACTTTTTACCTTTCATTAACAGCCGTTTTAGTAAGTAGGTAGTATTAAACATTTTAAAATGTGATCACTTTGCAGCTTAATTTATTTATTAAAGGAGCAAAATTAAAGCATACCAAAAAAAACAAACTTTCATCTTATTCTTTTTCAACAACGCGAAGTAAATAATAAAAATCTGTCTCCAAAGATCTTGTTCGATTTCAATGCCTCCAATGACGCTTCTGCCATTGACAGCTCCAATTTTGTAAGCACGCAGTTCTTTGGTCAAAAGCATTTGGTATAAAGAAGAGTGGATGGCTAAGGGCCCCATGATTTTTCTATTGTTGAGGATATTTCTGCTAGCTTTTCAGTCAGCTATTAATTTGTTTAAATTGAGATTTTTATTCACAAAGAGGAAGCTCTTGGCCTGCTGGAAGCTCTTGGTCCCTCAACTGATGGAAAGTAATGATTAGGCCAAAAATGGAAGCGCGCTTCATATGGAATCCTCAACCACAGAGGAAGTGGCTATCTTACCTCCAATAGTCTTTGAAGGTAAGATACAATTAACTAAAATAAGATACTATTAATAGTTAAGTACCTATTACTTGCTGTCCGCTAACTACTAAAGATCATGGTACTGTTTCTATAATTTTTACATCGCACAACTATCCGTCCGTTTAGACAAAACATCGACCCAATGCGATTTTACCCAGGTCGGGAACATTCACGTCACAAGTTTACGGTATAACAACGGTACGTCTCTAACGTGGACAATTTTAGGGGCTTGAGTAGGGACCAAATGACGCAAGGGTTTTCAGCCAAATAGATGAACTTATCAAAGGCAATTTTCAGTTCTCAACTTAATTTATGTTTTTCGGATCGTGTGGTCGCGTTAGTGGGGGCGTTCTGACGTAAAAAGGCTCGGCGCTAGATCGCCGGGTAAATAACTACGTTCTTTATTATTACCAGCTGGGTTACTTCGAAAAACGTTATCAGAAGTTTCGAATGCTGCCATCTCTCTCACGCAAAGCGACGTGCCAAAATGAGCGACGGTGACAGAAGACCCGAAACTTCGTAAACAGCGTTTCGGAGTAGCCCTGCAGACGTGAAGCGGGTGTTCGAGCTGATGAAACGAATCTAGAATAATACCTAACTTAGGATAGGACATAAAAATACAAGATATAATAGATTTTGATGTATCCTTCTTTTCATTTCATCTCTTNACGCTGATAGAGTGGTTCTCATACATCCAAATGCAGCTATACTTGCAAGGCGTTACAGACTTTGAAGTGGGTTTTTTACTTTGTTTTCAGTTTTTTGTAAAATATACTTATTTTTTAATACTCAAATAAGGAATAGCTTAAGGTTTTGTAGTAATTTTCATTTAAATAACTAATTTTTACTAACAATTAAACCATTTTTTAGTTTACTACAAAGCTGGCAATGTGCACTTGAAGATACATACTATATTTCCAAAACTACATACCTAAGATTTTTTTTCGTATTTTTTACATGATTTTTACTCGTCCTAAATCCAATATTTATAGTGTAAATCACAAATATTAACCAAAACCGTCTTTGCCAAGTATAGGGTTAAATTAAGGTTAGTGTGCTAAGGCAAAATTATTAATACCTAATTACTATTATTATTACTTATAGAGTACACAAAGTTATTTGTTTAGATTACTTGATTGAATTTAACCTGACAAAGTAAGGCAAGAACAAAACGCGTTTTCACGGACAATACCTTTAGTGGAGTAATCGTTTCGCCAGTCCGAAGACAAAGGTTATAAATTGTGATGGCGACAGTTTTATTGGCACCCCTATAAATTACATTAGCAAATGCCTAGCAGACGAGTGGGAATGGCCATGGCTCTTAGGAGAAAAGCCAACTAATTGATACTGAAAAACAATTGTGGATACAAACGTTTTTCACCGAAAATAGAAACTAGATAGGTTAAAGACCAAGAGAAAGTAAACTATCAAAAATGTTTTTTACCCCTGACCACTGTGCTTCTAAAGTGCAAATTATACATATTTGCAAGCTAGGGAAAACTTAATTACGTTTGGAGATGTCTTTCAGAAGATTACTGAATAATATTTAAAAAAATTCTAGATGATGGTAGATAAGCTTTGGTGATAACATTTTCTTCAGTTGAACGTGAGAAAAGTAGAGCATTTCTGACGACAATTTTGCTTAAAAGTCAATTTAGTAAGGGAAAGTCTTCCAATAGAGGAATTTGACAACTGTATCCATCAGTAGGTATACATTTTCGTTGCAATAAAGAACCTATGACCAATACATATTTCATAACTTAGCTTGATGTGCTATACAAAAAGTTATCTAGGTCAAGTGAAAACGTAAATATTAACTGCTCGTTTCCCTTTAGCTGTGTAATAGGTCAGCGGTAGACGAGCGACCTTGATAACCTCACGACGATATATCTTGGGGTTTACGCTAGACAGTTGATTGGATTTGACAAAACGCGAACAGTAAAATCTAGTAGCTTTTTTTCGATTTTGTAAAAATCAAAGGTTTTTTTATCCACTACGGGGAAGCTCTAGGCCTGGATCTCACCTGATGGAAGGTGAATATCAGGCCGAAGATAGCGAGCTTTACTCGGAATTCTCAACCACAGAAGAACTGGCTACCTACTTAGGTAGACTTAGGTAAAAAGTATGAGAACTGAACTATCAAACGAACGACGAACGATCAAACGAACTATAGCTATTCTGCAGCTGATTTTAATTATTAATCCTTCAAGGCCCGCGAATCTAGACACAATAGATAATCAATTGTTATGACATTAATGAATGCCGTCTGGGACTCAACCGGTTAAAGGAGCAAAATTAAAGAATAACACAACAACGCGAAGTAAATAATAAAAATCAGTCTCCAAAGATCCTGTTCGATTTCATCGCCTCCAATGACGCTTCTGCCATTGACAGCTCCAATTTTGTAAGCACGCAGTTCTTTGGTCAAAAGCATTTGGTATAAAGAAGAGTGGATGGCTAAGGGCCCCATGATTTTTCTATTGTTAAGGATATTTCTGCTAGCTTTCCAGTCAGCTATTAATTTGTTTAAATTGAGATTTTTATTTACAAAGAGGAAGCTCTTGGCCTGCTGGAAGCTCTTGGTCCCTCAACTGATGGAAAGTAATGATTAGGCTGAAAATGGAAGCGCGCTTCATACGGAATCCTCAACCACAGAGGAACTGGCTATCTAACCTCCAATAGTCTTTGAAGGTAAGATACTTTTAACTAAAATAAGATACTATTAATAGTTAAGTACCTATTACTTGCTGTCCGCTAACTACTAAAGATCATGGTACTGTTTCTATAATTTTTACATCGCAAAACTATCCGTCCGTTTAGAGAAAACATCGACCCAATGCGATTTTACCCAGGTCGGGAACATTCACGTCACAAGTTTACGGTATAACAACGGTACGTCTCTAACGTGGACAATTTTAGGGGCTTGAGTAGGGACCGAATGACGCAAGGGTTTTCAGCCAAATAGATGAACTTATCAAAGGCAATTTTCAGTTCTCAACTTAATTTATGTTTTTCGGATAGTGTGGTCGCGTTAGCGGGGGCGTTCTGACGTAAAAAGGCTCGGCGCTAGATCGCCGGGTAAATAACTACGTTCTTTATTATTACCAGCTGGGTTACTCCGAAAAACTTTATCAGAAGTTTCGAATGCTGCCATCTCTCTCACGCAAAGCGACGTGCCAGAATGAGCGACGGTGACAGAAGACCCGAAACTTCGTAAACAGCGTTTCGGGGTAGCCCTGCAGACGTGAGGCGGGTGTCCGAGCTGATGAAACGAATCTAGAATAACTTAGGCTAGGCCATAAAAATACAGGATATAGATTTGTTGTATCCTCCTTTTCATTTTTCATCTCTTAATTTTTTTATAACACGTAGGCTTGCTCGTAAAATTGTTTATAGTTATTACCTAAATAAAATAGGTCATGTATTAGAAAGTAGGTACTTACAAGGGAAGCTGACCAGGAACGTGATGAATAAAAGCATCCATATCTGAAACAAAAAGAACATTATGTAAGATGCTAATATTGTCACCATACAGGACCACAAAACCATAAAGTACCGTGTCTAGGTCTACGTCATAAAACTTTGGATTTACACACACACAAACCTTGGACTAGTGGAATATTTCACGGATAACTTAAAATATGTCCCAGAGATCACATAACTTTTACATGCCACGTCATGTTTTGTAGCAGTAACTTACTTGTAGCTTCAATTTATATGGGTTGCGTAAAAAAATTCAAATAATGCAAGCCATGATTCTTTGTTGTAAACCACTGATATTTATTTTAACTAACTTCCTATTTATGTTTAAATTCTAATTAAAAAAACCTATTTGATTTAGATAAGAGAAATGAATCAACCCACTGACCTCTGACAAGGAAAACAGTGTCTATTGTCAAGACAATATTTCTTATTACTAAAACGTATTTAAATGCATGTTGTTCTGAAGGAGGATTTACATTAGAGAGAGATGAATCAACCCACTAACATCTGACAAGGAAAACAGTGTCTACTGTCAATAGTAAATAGTCAAGACACTATTTTTTTATTTCTAAAAAGTATTTAAATGTGTGTTATTCGCAAGGAGGTTTGCAATAAATGTCTGCAGCGCAGTTGGTAGCACGGTGCAGGGTCTCCTCGCAATATTAAGTCCATCGAAGCGCAAAATGGAATCCTAGCATTGAGAGTTCAAGTACTAAAGATTGAGATTGAAGGCTTGTTCCCCAACATTTTAAAGCAGGCCACGTCTGAAACAAATAAGTGTACATCACGTGGGGAATTGCAGTCGCTGACCGTGGTTTCGCAATAGGGACAAAACAAAAGTAGGGTCTACCTCTACAAAAGATGTAAACTCTTGCTGAAATTAGGCGCTGATTTTATATCTAAGAGTTTTGGGTGCTAGAGTGATTGATTTGTTAATGAATCTTTTTAATTGTCAAGCTTACGAAATTCATTTCTTGTCTATGTGTTGAAGGTAATAAAGGCTCATCTGTGTCTTTAGATCATAATATGGGTACTTTGCTTATATCTCAATGCTTAGTTATGTCATGAACTTTGAAGTTTCATCACCATCAGGTCATTTAGTCTCCGCTTCAGAAGAACAACTATCTAATTTACTTGAAGTAAACAATGATGATGATGATGAAAAATCCATAAGAGTTACTTATTCAGATTCGAAAATTAAAAAAATGGCTGGATTTGATGTGCTGATCAAATTCTATAAACCTGGGGATTAAGAACATGCTGACACTGTCTATACTTTAATGGCATCCAGCCAAGACAATATTGTCGCGGGTTGTAAACGCTCCCTAGGCAGTGCTCTATGCAGTTACAACTTGAAGGTTTGGACACGGCTCATTGATTATGCGGCGCAAAGTTTGTGCTTTACACGTGCTTGAACACTAACATAATATCGTCAACTCGAATACTAGTTATTTAATTTTTAGCGTTAAGAGTCGCATCTCAAACTAATTTGAAAATTATAAATAACTTGAAAAAATCGAACTGCCTAAGGTGGGAATTGAACGCTGGCCGTAACAGCGTATTACACTTGAAAATTTCGACGGGTTCATCCAGTGTCTAAGTAGCTCAGTTGGAAGAGCAGTCGCCCGGCAAGCGGAAGGTCGTGGGTTCAATTCCCGCCTTAGGCAGTTCGATTTTTTCAAGTTATTTATATTTTTCAAACTCGAATACTCTTCAGGGATCTAGCAAGAGCGAGATATTGTCCAGTCATTTGGTACAAAATAATGGTGTTACTTGGAAGGTTTTCCGGGAGTAATGAATTTCGATGTGCTCTTTCCGAATTTCAACTTTGCTACCTCCTATCGTTGCCGCGGGCGCCGCCATATTGGAAAACTATTCGCCATATTCAAAGCTCCCGGATAACATTCCAGGCAAAACTACTAAATGACTGGACTAATAGAAAATCAAGTAAGAAGGTTGAGAAATAACAACAACGGTCGACGGAAGCCATGTTTTCTATTGCTGTAGCCCTTCAAGTACCAGCGAATTGAGACACAATAGAAATCAATTGTTACCGCAGTCTCATGAGACCATTTAGGACTTAGGGTTTCACGAGATAAAAAGTCTATCACCCTTTGAAAATTTTAGCGTCTAAGCTACAAAGTTTACGTTGTCGGGATCACATAGTTATCATCACACCTCTCTCATGATGACGATAGAAACCCACAAGATAATTAGCGTCTTTCTATATTATTATGTCATGCGAGTTAAGTAGGTGCTTCTTACCCTAAAATATTTGAAACTTTTGATATCAAGAAATTCAAATTCTGATTCAAACGATACCCGCAGCTGGTAATACCTACGTAGCAGATTTTTTAACGACAACAAACAGTGTTAGGCTGGCAGGTGTTATTAAATTAATTGGTTAATGGATGAATAGGATAGAAAGCTATTACTTTTATTAAACAAGCGTGGAACAGTTTTTTGCTGAAATTGCTTTTAGAGTAAAATAATGGATAGCTAAAAAAATATGTTATTTTAAAAATATATTACAGGGCTTAGAGCCAACATAAAATATTCGTTTTAGGGTTTTAAATGAATCGAGCATATTCAATAAAATTCGTTCTAATAGTTATAATAGTCGTGTTAGTCCGTTAGCAGTTTTATTATACGAGTAAAAGATATTGATAAAAAAGATATAGTTACCTGTTTGATAAGTAAGTAATATTTTTTGATGTTACAAAAAGATTAGTGAAGATAAGCATAAGTACTAACGATTTCAACACCGAAAACTTTTTGAGTACCAATGAACTAAAATGTAACACAATGCTATCTTTTTACTAGCAGATCGTCGAAATAAATTACAAAGTAGGATACTTTATCCATTTTATCAACCTTTTGTCCGGGTCTGTCCGGGTCTGTCCGATACGAATTTGTGATCAATATGTGAAATGAAACGGCGTCTGTCTACCTTAGAGTAAATGGAATGGTATGCGATTGCTCTCGCATTTCATAAACTGATCGGATTGATGTGCAATTTGCTGGAATCGTTTTATCCCTTTTGACACAAATGAAAAACATTTAGTTGCATTACAGGTGATTGCTGCAATAATTTTATCATTGAGCTTAATAATTTTTATAGAATATCTATTTTTAAAAAGTATAATATTAATTTTTGGTATAGTAAAAAGATTCTACATCTAAAGGTTGTCTACTCACGGACATTGCCCGCGGGCGGCGTGACCGGAGGGAGCGGCGAACGTTCGGCGAACGAACGAGCAATGTTCGGTTCGCGAGCGAACATCGAAGAAGACGATCCTGACGCACTCTCTTCAACGACTTTGCACTAAACGGTCTCAATATCATTGTTAATTTATACCGAATAGACAATTAATTGTATACAGTCCACTCTTTCATTTAATTAACTTCCACTACACTCACTATCGAAGTAACAAAGGTATTTTCACTTATTTATAACATAGGTACTCATTTATACTAAAACGCCTATTTTTGAGCCCTATATTTTTATCTGGGAAATATTTATAGCTCTCCAGGGATGCGCAATATGCGCATATCGCAAACAGCAGCACAATTTACAAGTTTTACGCAAACTGTTTGTAGTTAAAGATTTTTTTTTTCTACTGTTATATCGCGTAATGTGTTGGTGAAATCATAATAAATTTCTATCAACATTCCTCGACCCTCTTTCATACTTGCACATTTTATCCAAAAAAACTTTAAAATGCCTTGTCCAAGCTTATTAGAACCGTTAACACAGCGGCGATGCCATAATGGGGTCAAAAATGCACCCCATTCCCCACTGAGAAATGTCCCCAATTATCTTCCAAACTACCCCCGGAGCAGGTGCCATGAATTGTGTGCGAGAATTCACATTATAATGCTAACCTTTTTGAGAAGAAAGTACACAATGGCCAAGATGGAAATCATAGTTATAATAAAATTTAGGGACGTTTTCCATCTACTGTGTCCGAATTAAAGACAAACGTCAGCCTCAACCAAACCCTCAGATCTTTTAAACTATCACAAACTAAGGCATGCCCTCTTATCTATATATATAAAAGAAAGTCGTGTTAGTTACACCACTTATAACTCAAGAACGGCTGAACCGATTTAGCTGAAAATTGTCAGGGAGGTAGTTTAGAGCCAGGAGAAGGACATAGGATACTTTTTATCCCGTTCGAAATAAAAAAAAGTCTGCTTATTTATTGCCATTAGGGCGGAACAAAGTTCGCCGGGTCAGCTAGTATTCTTTATAAACATAATTATAAAGTTATTAATCCATTCAGAAATTATTTCGTAGTAGATATGCCAGCCAGACACGACGCATTTTGATTTGGAACCCTTTCGTATAAGCAGCAGCGATATGTGGAATGTGGATGTAATATGGAACTTTATCGATAGATGGCGGTGGGCGTAACTTGAATCGCGGTTTGTTTTGATTTTTTCCGGATTTACTAGTATCCTGGTGCAAGCTTCATTCAATAATATTGCTCTAAAGTATTGCTCAACTTTTTACGTTATTCGATAGGGATAAGACAATGTAGGTAATTAGCTATTACATAATTTTTGAAGCACTTCTCTTATCCTATCGGATGTGAGTAGTGAATAGATGTACTTGCCGAGTTATGTAAATTAAAAGTTATATGTATGACGTAATATTAATTTTACTATTTTTTAAAATATGTTTTTATTATTCATTTGTGTTTAGTTGTATTTTCTCGTCGGTGGTCTCGTAAAAGTGCTTTTTAAAAGCTTACAGAAACTAAAAAAGTAAGTAAGTAAGGGTGTTACCACGGGTGTTACTATGTATAATATTTATGTATTTACAAAAAAAGTATTTAAGTATGTCTATATCCGTTTTCTAGTACCTATAGTACAAGCTTTGTTTAGTTTGGGACTAGAGGCGCAGTGTAAAATGTTAAATTTTAAATTATTTATTTGCATAAAACATGGTACATTTCAGTTATTATCTTGTTACGAGAACAACATGTTTCATCGACATA